GTATATCCTATATTTTAAGCAGGTAATTGTAGAGTTTATTGTAAATATTTCATGTTTGTAATTGGTTTCACGAAAACAATGCTACATTTTTATCCGAAAATCTTGAAGTTTTCTTTAAAAAATATGAAATATTGATAACGCTTTTGATTATCTTATATATGAATAACGCCACAAAAAGCGAAGTCAGGGCGGGTCGCTAGTCCTCGTAAAATATTTAAATATCTTTGCCGTCGCCATTGAGAAAATTGTTTTTTTCTAATGCTGTGCAAAGAGCAGTCGCTGAGGTTATGTGATACTAAAAAATTATTCAAATTTTAAACGAGTGAGACATGAAATAGTCTCGGAAGGATACTTAATATTTCTCCATAACGGAAATATAACCTCAATATGTTTCTGTTACGTCATACATTATATTACATACGCCGTACTTGAAATTTTTCAACAGAAACAGAAACATTTTTGTTCATTATAAGTTATAAATAATACTTATTGAAAATCTACACTTTTGTTTAATTTACCAATGGTTCGGAAAAAACCTCTGTCCTGGGAAGAACCAGCAAGAAGTCCAACGGGACTTAAAAAGAAAACACCTTACAATTTTATGTTACACAATTAACAACACAATACAAATTAAAAATTACTTGGTAGCGATCACCTCATTCCCAATATGTGCTGTGCTCCATTGTATGTTCCATTGCAATGCTGTGCAATTTCGAAAAATTCATAAATTAGTGGAATCGTATTTTCTTTACTTTTTGGCCACAAGAAGACATTTATTATTCGGTATACTGTTATTTTTAAATTCAATGACTGAGTGAACGTTAATAAAAAATATAAAGGTGTTTAAATTATAGGAAAGAAGAAAACCGTTCTAAATGTTCTTCTCAATAAATATATTTAATTTTTAAATAAGTCATGGTATCTCAGGGGATAAAAGCTTAAAAATCGGTTATACGCACGCAAACCGAACTCGGTCCTTTACGGCATTGGTAAAATTGTTAATTCCGTGGTAAAGATTTTCTGCAGCTATATTATGGTTGCAGTACGAATAGGTCCACTCGACCGAAGGAAGAACCACGCTCTCACACTCGACGTAGAGAACCTGAGATCCTTTTAACTGAATACGAGGCATTCCGTCTTAGTTCTCAGGGGTGACAACGCATCAATATTTTGGTTCTCAATCGAGGATAAAAGTAGATGTCCATCGGTCACAGTATCCACTTACCACCAGGAGGACTATGTGCTCGTTTCCATGTACAGGTACATGTTAAAATAGCCCTGTGGTTCCCGTTTGGTGCGTTATCAGAATCAATATTCAAACTTATAGAAATTACATTACTTCAGAAAACTCGATTATAAACAAAACAAATTAAATTGAAATAAGTTTTATTACCTCGAACTGACTAAGCGTGTTGGTGAAGATCAAAAACCATCATAAACTAATAATATTGGTAGATAGCTTAGTCATAGCGTGCAAGGAAGAAGAAAACTCCTATATAGCAAAACAGAAAAGGGTAATATATAGTCCAGTCAAATAAAATCAAAATTTTGACACTCAACTTTGCGTTTTTGATTTAATGTAGTAATAATGATACAAAAGCAATTTGTAAAGGTTTTCGTGTCCGAAACCCTCGGCAAGGTTCAAAAAAAATCTAACCTTTAGGTTACATTTTTTAAGCAATTTAAAAAACATCGCTTATTTTTACCAATACTAATACGATATATTAGTATTGGTAAAAAATAAGCGATTTTTGATTTTTTGAGGCCAAGAGTATATTATATTAGTACAAGAGTATATTAGTAGTATAGTTGTAGCATGAATGGGTCAGCTCGACCGGGGAAAGACCACACTCTCGCAGAATACCAGCGTAAAATAGCAGCTTAACGCTGCTGAGATTTAGCTTTTGAGATCTAAGATTGACTTAGCGGTTAGCCACCGTAGAGTCTATATCACCTGAGGATGCCTCGTGTAGAGGCGAAACACGTGTCGTATTATCGTCAGTGGTGTGTCTTGCCTAGTGTAGTGGTGTTGGAAGTAGCGGTGCTGGGATTAGTGGTGACGGGGATAGTGCACGCAATTGAGGGAGGGCGGGAGGTGCTTCTTCATACTAGGTAAGACACATCATTTTATTTCATAACGCGGATATTTGCGAAGTAAATTTTGTAAAAGCTTTTATATATTATATTATACGTGGTAGAGCGATGCTGCAGTTATATTATGGTTGTAGCACGAATGGGTCGGCTTGACCGAGGAAGGACCACGCTCTCACAGAATACCAGCGTAAAATAGCAGCTTAACGCTGCTGTGTTTCGTATGTGAGTGTAGAGAACCGGAGACCCTTTTTACTGGAAACGAAGCATTCCATCTTAGTCCTCACGGGTGACAACGCATCTGCCTTTTGATTCATAATCGAAGATAGATGTAGATTTCTATGGGCCACAGCAACCACTTACCATCAGGTGGACTGTGTGCTCGTTTGTCACCCTATCCTATAAAAAAAAACTAAAGAAAACAAAATTAAATGCCATTTACATTCCATGGCTTTCCACATGATAGATGAAGAGTTTTAAAAATAGATTGAGTTGAACAATTTATATTTTCAAAAGTTATTGTGTTTACGCCGTCATGTGGATTTGATAAATCCACACCATAAGCCACAAAAACCCCTTTTAATATAATAATTGTAATCAAACGATTTAAATAATATAATTATGTTCAACAATCATTTATCTTTCTGAAAATGTGTTTTATATTATTTATATGTTCATTTTGCCGCATGAAATCGTATCTAGCAATCATTATATGATTGCTAGATACGATTTCATGCGGATGATTGCTAGATACGATTTCATGCGGCAAAATGTTGGAATTTTAATTTTTAGGCCCTAGCAGAACATACCTGCGCGCTTCGCGCTTAAGGCATGTAAGAAAGCCGATTTATTCTACCGTAAAGAGACTCAAACCATACAAACATAACTCAAACAATAACCAATTTAAAACATCTTACTTCCTCACTATTTATCAGTGTGTAATAACAGATAAAAAACCGGCCAAGTGCGAGTCGGACTCGCGCATCGAAGGTTCCGAACAAATCCGTAGGTATATAAGTTTAAAATTATTAAAAATATTTTTATAATAGTTTTCCTTTATCTGTGCTATAATACGTTACTTCGTACCAAATTTTAAGATTCTGAGTTCACGGGAAGTACCCTGTAGCTTTTGATTCCCTTGCGAGTGTCGAAGATTTGTGGCATAAACGGCTGTATCTTTTGATTGCGTTGGCTTAGAAGTTTGTTTTTTCATAGCTTCAAGAAACAGTAGACTTGACTATTTGATATGAACTTCAGCTTGATACCTCCACGCATTCCTGAGAAAAAGGGTCTTGACAGACAGACAGACGGACAACAAAGTGATCCTATAAGGTTCCGTTTTTTCCTTTTGAGGTACGGAACCCTAAATATGACATCAACCAGACATTTTGGCTTTAATGGTGTTTGAGGTATGATAACTAATCAGTTAATATATTTTCAAACAAAGTTTTGACACCGCGCCTGTCTGTCTATCTGTTCTACTATTAAAAGACTACTTTGGAAATTATGATTTACTATAATTAATGTAGATGCATTATAATTTGTGTTTTATAAAGCATGTGTAGGTAATATTTTAAATGTACATAATATTATCCCTGAGTCATTTTGGCTTTAATCATATTACTTATATTTATATATTAATTGGTATTTGGGTTATATACACACAATCAATCAATACGTGTAAAAATAGTATCCATACCACATTAATTTGTGCACAGACAGGCACTATATTTTGCCAAAACTACTAAAAGGATTTTCCATCGATCTTAAACTACCAATAAATGCTGAATGTACCTACAATTTTATTTTATACTAATAATTATTGAACAGTGCACAATATTAACATATAATACCGGTGAAAACTAAAAGACAATCGCTTTTAGCTTATTTTTTAGGTTATAGTAATATTCATATTTCATTTGCTAATGTCTCAGTACTCCACTTAGCTACGGTAAAACTAATATTACTTTTTTAATCTATAGATTACAAGAAATAAATCGATATGCATTTCATTAAGGGTAGCTAAAATTTGTGGTGGGCCCATTTTCCATACAACAATAAACTGTCTCCTTTAAAATGTATCGGATGAATAGAAATAAACAAATCATACGGTAATCGTATAAATAAGAAAAAAAATATTATTCGATTATCGTAAGAATATATACTTCCTTGTCTAGACATATTTATAAAATTGAAGTGAACAAATGACACCCATGACAGCTAACTAGATAAATTTACGAAATTGAACGTTGAAAAAATTAAGAGCCATTATCGAGAAACCAATTATATACACAAAAATATAAACAATACAATCTACAATTGCTTGTTTAATATATAAACACATAGGTCGTCGCCAAACAGGACATGGTGTTTAAATAAAACCCTGTAATTCTATTTATCTTGATAAAATTACGTGTGACATTTGTTTAAAGGTCAAAAGCCATTTTAATATTCTCTTATTGTACAAACTTAGATGTCGTCATTAACAGGTAGTATTTAAAGACAACTTTGTGATGAAGCTCTTTAGTTGTGCGGTAAATATTGCGAACACAATGGCATGGGATCTGAGGGATAAAACCGTGGTTATCACAGGTGGAAACATTGGCATTGGGTACAAAATTGCTGATAAATATCTGGAAAAATGTGCAAAAGTTGTCATATTACTTGGAAGAAATGAAGAAAACGGCCTTTGAATCTTTAAAAGAAAGGTATGGAAAAGACAAAGCGGTGTTTTTCAAATGTGATGTTACAAGTGATTTGGAAGAAATTTACAGAAAAATAATCGACACATATAAAATGTGGATGTATTGATCAATAATGCTGGAGTATTAAACGAAACAGAAATTAGAAATACTATAAATGTTAATGTTACAGCGTTGATTGAATGGTCTTTTAAATTCTGGGAGCACATGAGGAAAGACAAATCCGGAAAAGGCGGGACTATTATTAATATAGCGTCTATTTATGGATATAGAGTTGACCAATACGTGCCGGTATATCAGGCATCAAAGTTCGCTGTAATGGGTTTTACAAAATCACTTGGCAATATTGAAAATTTTAACGAATTCGGAGTTCGAGTGGTGGCAATTTGTCCCGGATTCACGGAAACGAGACTGGTTGTTGATCCAAAAACGGTGATAAAAGATACCAAATTCAAAGAATTCACTAAAAAGCAAGCGTGGCAAACAGTTGAAGCGGTCGGAATTGCAGCAGTTGAGGTATTTGAAACAGCTGGTAGTGGTACTGCATGGTTAATTGAAGGAGCAAAACAGATTGAGCAAATATTATAGATATTAACTACCTAGAAGTATGCACTATGTACTAAAATACTTCATTGATTATTTTTCCTTCTTCTTCGTTACGAGCCTGTGACACTACTGGACGTAGACCTCTTCTATCAAATCACTACGCTTGGTATGCATTATTAGTATTGTAAGTTAATTGCAGTTCCAGATGTCTCCTATCTGCGATGCTTCTCCAAATCACCGGGTGTGATATTTTAGAACTAGCATATGCAATATGGTATACCGTAAAATATTATTCAGAACATTTACTTAATTTTATTGTTGTAGGTAGTTGTGTTATTTGGCTTGAATAAAATCTAAAGTTTATGTATATTTTATTTAAGTTTATTTGTAATAAGTATTTTATTTAGTCTGTTGTTTGAATAAACTGTTTAGAAATTGTTTTAAGCGTATGTAATTAAGGGGCTACTCCATGCAAACGACCTTGAGCATTTGACCGGCGCGCCGCTCGCTACAATATATTATTGCTTAAGAAATATATAAGACGCCACCTATTGTACGAACGTAGTATTATTTTTTCAACATCAATAAACTATTTTATGGAAATACACACATCGTACAAAGATAAATGTATTTTAATTTCTTTATTCGGTATATATTAGTTGGATTATATTAGAATTATGTATTTTCATATATTATCTAATTATGAAATTTTATAATTAATTATATATTAAAAATGAAGCATTGAAAATTATGAGTTTAAAAGATACCTATTCACTATAGGTAAATAAATAGATAGCTCGGCATTTGTACACATATTTAGGTGCAATAAAAATAAATAAATAAATAGGATGTTTCGCAGATATGTTTTTGATTATTGTTAACTTTTACGTGTCACGTATTGAAAAGTAACATACATACCTACTAATTTTTGAACTGAGCACCTTGTAACTTAGCCTGCTTATTACTTATGCTGGCAGACATTATCCTCACCCCAATGACTGATGAGGATGAAAATCAATTTTATTTCTACATACGTAATTATATTTATTTATCCATAAGGGTAACTTTAATAAAGGTAATACAAAAATCAACAAAAAGTATAAGGGTTCAATCTTTCAATTTCAATTGTAAAAAAACGTTACCCCCACACTAGGATTTTCTCCTGTGTCCTGGAGGCAGTTTACTAACATAAATTGCACAAGGACAAACATCCAGACCCGGCACAATTATTTGTAGGCCATACAAATACTTGTTCCGTGCGGGATTCGAACCCTCGGCCCCCAGCGCAACAACTGATTGCTAAGCCACTGCGCCACGGAGCCGTCGCCGGGTTATAGCTAAAGTGACCATACGTCCCGTTTTGAACGAGACTGTCCCTTTTCTCGGTCACTTGTCCTATTGTCCCCAAACAAAGCTCCGGGACAAATTGTCCCGTAACTCGTTGGATGGAAGTATTCAAAGTCAACAATCTTCAACATAATTTTTTAATCGAATATATTTTATGTCTCCCTGGTACAAATGCTCCAGTAGAAAGAGTATTTTTTTATTTTGAATAAATTGTGGACGTCTGACGGAAACACTTACGGTTCCAGTTCTAAAGGCGATTTTGTTAACAAAGGTAACAATAAAAAAACTTGAGCAGAATTTTATTCTTATTTAAAATCATCACCAACTTTATTAAATCAAATTTAATCCACTGACAAATGTAATTAATAATTAAAAAAATATGTTGCATTTAATAATTACCGTCTATACCGAATATAATTTTATATTGAACACTAATTGTATAAAGTTATAGTTTTTAGAGTATAAATAAACCCATGTCCTGTTTTGAGTTAAAAAATAAATGGTCAGTTTACTTTTTTTTAGTTAAATTTAGTTTAAAAAAATATTTATAGTAAAAAGTAGGTATATTAATACCTACTTAAATACTTTTTACCGAATTAGGGTGGAAGCCCCTAATACCAGTCATGCCCCTAATTCCAGTCTTTTCGCCTTTTTACTCCATAAATAAGATTTCTAGTCTTAACTACAAATATTGTGATCTAAAAAATTCTTTGTATCTAGAGGAAAGTATATTTATTCAAATATTACTCGCAGTTTTAAACATAACAGTGTTAAAATCAAAACAGGTACGCAACGAAAAACGACCAATTTCCTAAAATTTGACAAGTTACGAGTATGATCCCGGTAAAATTATGCGTACTTTACATTATCTCATATATAGGCTATTTGATTTGTATGAATTTGACTATAGACATAGTAATGCAGTTATTTTTGTTTGAATTTACAAGTTATTTTTTTTTTAGTGGAAATTATTGGGACTGTAATTAGATAATATGAGAAATGTATGGAGTGCATAATGTCAGCCACCCGGCTGTTATTTGATTTGACGTACCTAAAAAGAAGTACCTAATTTCAGCCACGTAATATAAATCAGGGCTGCCATAAACTGGAATAAATACCATTAATTAGATCATAACTTATTTTATACCTAAGGGAGTTATGATCAATTCGTCTGTTTTAAAATTGGTTTTAGATTTTAAAGTTTAGCATAAGATGTACTAGCTTTTCTCTCTGACATTCGGCGTATAGAACACCTTATGTACTCAATTATTTTTTGAAAAAGAAGAAAAAAACAAGCAATAAATAATATACTATATTTTAGCAAAAAACTATAACTTAGTAATACTAATTAAAACGTAGAACATAAATGAAAAACTCATAACTGACTTTTTGGCCCGACCCGGGATTCGAACCTGAGACCTCATGATCAGCAGTCGCACTACTACAACCACTAGACCAATGAGGCGGTACTATACCTAATAAGATATTGTGGTGGGGTATTAGAATTATTTTTAACTGTATACTATACTGATAATATTGAATTAGCCTTTTATAGTGTAAATTATAATATTTGTCGAAATGTTAATTATGGATTCGAGAACCTTACATGCTAATGGTGCTTCATTTTTTTATTCGCATTTACTTCAAAGAAAATACACCCAAAAGCTTCATTGCGCAGTAAAAAACACAACAAATATATGTATATCTAATACGAAAAATTATACCCAAAACAAACAATTAATACTACCTATAAATAATCTAATAAGTAATAATATTATAATATTATCGACTGATAAGATGATATGAGCGTGTGCGCTGGCAGACGCTCTAACGACACGGGTTCCACGTGTAAGAGTTTAGCGCTCACTGACTCCAGCAAGCCCGTGGGCAGTGAATACGCCCAGATTTTAAAATAATTTCATAATAAAATCAAATTTTGGTCTTTTGAAAAAAATTTATTATAGAAACGTTCATTAATAAATTGACTATCCATTGGTGTAAATCGCAAAATAAAATATTGTTTACTTTACGAGGAGATGCATGTTATCAATAATAAATTCACATTTATGTGGTTTCGTTGTAAGGAGATTATATTAATATTTATAAAAGCTTTTACAAAAATTTACTTCGCAAATATCCGCGTTATATCGCGTTATAACGCGGATATTTGCGAAGTAAATTTTTGTAAAAGCTTTTATATAATGGATTTCCGCAAAGTAACGCCTGATTCTATTAATTATATTAATATTTATTCCTTTAAAAAAATTGGATATAGCTTTTATGGAATCAAGATTATGCAGAAATATAATGTGTTTTTTATTTGTTGATATATCTTTTAAATAAAAAGTAGATAGTTCCTAAATACCGCACAAATAACGACTAGCGCGACATTTTGCTCAACCTGCGCCTTAAGACGTTTTACCGTAGGTCACATAATCTTATATGACGTAAGGAAGCTACATACTGACTTTTATTAGGTATGTAGTAAAGTTTCAATCACCCTATATGTTGGGTATCAAGCTCCACTTGTGCTGGTGGAATTCTTGAATAAATAAGAACTTCAATATGTAGTCTGTGTAGGTAATTTATTGGTTGCTATAAGAGAGGTAGCCGTAATGCGTGCGTTCGCGACCGGGTTGTTCCGAGCAAGAAGAAGTTGCAGCGGTGCCGCGTTGTCTCCATGAAGGTCATGGGGCCGTGAAGCGCTCGCAGAACCGGTTTGAGGTCCGCTGCCCGACGACACGAGCCGGGGAGTATCATAGGCAGTGACGTCAGGAACATATTCCCCGGGTTGAAGCTAGGCTTCAAGATGATGCAGGAGACACTGGAAGAGGGCAGATGTTATTAAATGCTCTTGTGATTGTTCCCTTTGTGGTGAAGATGTCAGCAACTCTGATGTGACCATCCGATCCTGGTCTTATGGCGATCACTCTACCCATCAGCCAAAGAAGAGGAGGTCGATTGACGTCCTTCACTAAGACCATGGTGCCTGTCTTCAGCTCTTGATCAGCGGTTTTCCACTTCGTTCGCTGTTGTAAGGTAGTAATGTACTCGTTGGAAAACCGGTACAGAAATGCTGCCAAAGCTTTTCAACTCGCTGGTAGCGTGGAAGTCGTTCGATGTTGCTGTTGGCGATCTGAGGATGCGGAACTGATGTGAGTGGACGCCCGATCAGGAAGTGAGATGGGGAAAGATAGGAGAGATCAGAAGGATCTGAGGACAGAAGGTCAACGGTCTGGCATTTAAGATGGCCTCTATCTGACTCAGACACGTCGAAAGTTCTTCATAAGTTAGATGAGTAAGACCAAGAGTACGACGTAAAAGATGTTTGGTTGATTTTACTGCTGCCTTCCAAATGCCCCCAAAATGAGGTGAATAAGGTGGTATAAATTTAAAATCTATGCCTTGGTTTGCAATGTCTGACTCTAAATCGTTGTAAGATAATTGTAAAAATCGTTTATGCTCATTGAAGGCTCCTACAAAGGTAGTGCCGTTGTCGGAGTACACGCACTGAGGCTTGCCACGACGTGCGACAAACCGACTAAAGGCGGCAAGAAAAGACTCCTTTGTTAGATCGGAGAACAACTCCAAGTGGACGGCTCTAACTGCAAAGCACACAAAAACACAAATATATGACTTCACTAGCTTACAACCTCTGCCTTTACGATCCGCTATTAGCACTGGCCCGGCAAAATCTAAGCCTGTGGTTAAAAATGGGAAATCAAGATGCGTCCTCTCACTAGGTAGGTTACCCATGATGACCTGAATGGGATTGCCCTTTACGCGAGTACATCGAATACACGTTCGTACAATTTGTTTAGCTAAGTTTCTACCACCGAGCGACCAATATGTTAGTCTTATATTTGCTAAAAGTAGTTGAGGTCCTGCATGAAAGAGAGAGAGGTGGTACGATTAAAACATTATTTTAGTGAGGCGATGTTTACTACAGAGTAATATAGGATGCTTTATATCGTAAGTGTAGTTAGAGTTCTGAAGGCGTCCGCCTACACGTAATATGTTACAAGAATCAATGAAAGGAAAGAGACTGATCAATCTATTTTTATTGTGTAATATTTTATTACATTTAAGAGTATTATATTCCTCAGGGAACATTTCCTGCCGAGCACATTGTATAATTAGATTTTGTGAACGCTGTAATTCTGAATGAGACAAGTGAGATAAAATTTTGTTATTAGCAAATCTATATTTTATTTGCAAGCCATAATTACCAAATTAGTGAATCATAAATACAATAAAATTTGATACTTTATTTCTAACGCACATTTTACAATAATGAATAGATTTTTATCAAAATATACGCTTTAATCGTTGTTTTATATTCATGGCAGACGCGTGAGCCTATCTATCTATACTATCTATATTATATATCTATCTACACTATAGTAAAATTGTAATACGACGTCTGTATGAACACAATACAATACAAACACTCACGCCTGTCACCCAGAGGGGTAGGCAGAGATTACGGACTTCCATTTGGCGCGATCCTGACACTCCTCTCTCGCCTCCTTTACATCCATATATTTACGCATACATGCTCGTCGGTTAAGGGTACTCCTAATCTGGCCCATTTTCAATGTATCGCCGATTTGGTCGATAAATCTTCATCTAGGGCGTCCTTTCCCGACTTTGCCATTCACTTTGTCTGAACACGTATCACGCAAAAACCTGTGAACTGATTTGAATGGGACTTTCAACGGCAGATAACTGATGTTATGAGAAATAACTTAGGCTACTTTTATTTTAGGGTCACGCGAAACTAATTCCACGTGGGAGATGTTGCGGGGAACAGCGAGTTTTAAATAAAAATAATACATTTTTTAAAGTTTTCTTTTAAGTTTACTTATTATCTTGAAGCTTCAGCCAAGCGAATACAATCATAAAAAGTATAAAAAGTATTCACAATAAAAAATTATGGGACTCAATAAATTATTATATTTTTCACATCATTGCAAGTGGATGGTGTGGTCCATAGACATCAACGTCTATCCTCGATTAAGAACCAAAGTGCAGATGCACTGTCACTCCTGAGGACCAACCCATTCGTGCTACAAATATAATATAGCTGTAACATGGCTTTACCACACATTATTTATCCAAAGTAAAAAAGAAACTACCTCTTATCCAGTTTATCTGATATTTATTATCGGTATCTTTTATTGAAACATAATTAGCTTTAGAAGGTAATTGTGATCTTGATCTCGGTAAAATATCCTGTTATTACAATGTTGAACCTTTTGCTACAGGTTAATACGCAGGTGGCAATAGAATAAAATAACTTATAATTATGGAACAATAAACAGAATAATTTTTATTCAATATTGATTACATGTAAATATACTCGTATATATTATTCACTGACTGACGGGCATTGTTCTACGGAATGGTTGACTGACCATTTTATTTATTAATAATATACTCAATAATTACTAAAAAAAAATTCACGCTTAATAAACGAATTGCACCCTTATAAATCTCGCGACGTATGTACATTACAGCTGACTGACCAGCAGTGTCCCCATAGGACGATGACTGACCATCATTATTTAGATTCTGCCTTAAGAAATTGATTTTATTATGTCGGTGGTCACGACATGTTTGACCATGCACCAGAGACACCTGTTCTAATATCCGCTTGACTGACCGTAGCATTTTTTTGTAAATTATGATTATAATCACCAGAGAAAAAACCATGCTTAATAAATTCAGAGACTTTTTTGGCTCTACTTCTGCGTCTATTAGCTAATATGTGAGCCTCTCTGTTGAGCGAACTGTAGAAATTACATGTTTTGAGCTGGAGCACTTCATTGTAGTTAGTGTCTACAGATATCTATGTTCAAATAAAACTAGTTTATATTAATTTTATCGCGTATATTAACTTAGTTTATATTCCTGAAGTTTCGAGTACTTTAGAGCACCTGAAGTCACGGGGGGCACAGTCGTGTTTTCTTTATTTATTTATTATTTTAATATATGGGATCAATTTTTTAACTTATGCAATAAAATATAATAAAAATGTTGCTCTCATCTAAATGAATAGTATATTATTATTACATTAGTGCTAAAAGCGAAATAGAAAATAGTAGTTTTCAGTAATTAAAAAAAAGCGGAAAATGGCGGAGATTGACCACCGCGATGGAAGACAGTTACAGATTATCAATATTTGACACATAACCGGGATGAATGACATTTAATCTTGGGAGGACATGAACCCTACTATGAAAGATCATATAATATTTCCGATAACTTTAGAGAGTATAACAAAAACTATTCTTAAATGTTTAAAAATAGTGCTCCACAGCCAAATCTTAACATATTATCATTAAAACGGCTATAATAAAAATAAAATTATGTTTAGTATTAGGTAATAGTGAAACCGGCAAAGACAAATCTCGTTACACAAACTATCAATTGAAAATTAACAATGAATTGACTAAATCAAATCAAGGAGTCACAGCGGTTTTTGAGAGATCTTTCACTGCAATTCCTATCTTGACAACAGAGTCATTGATTACTTCTCCAATTGTTGCCAAGTCAAGTAATGACTCGGCAACAGTTGGAGTCAACAGAATATTGATATATGATATAGTATAGATACCTGTTTAAAATAATTTAGATTTGAAAAAGTACTACCGCAAAATGTTGTTAAATATTTCAAAACCCTTGATATAAAGAAGACCACAGATTTATGGGGGATTTCCGTTACAGTGATTGCGTCCATAATAAATTTAATCGCATCTTATCTTGCTATTATTTTTCATACTTGTATCGAAACTAGTGTGTTTCCTGATTTAATGAAAGTAAGTAAAATAATTCCTTTATTTAAATTTGGCAGTAAATTTGACCACGCCAATTTTAGATCTACTTCTGTACTACCACATCTCAGTAAAAAAATATCTAAATTGATTTGAAAAAGTCTTTTTGGATCAAGTGTTAATCTTTTTTATACAAATAAATGAATTCATAACAATCAATTTGGTTTTACAAGAGATTGCTCGACAACTGACGCCGGTGTTTTTGGTTTATGAAATATATATTTCAATGGTTGGAAAAATTCACAGGGTGCCTTAGGTATTTTTTTTATCTTTCCAAGGCTTCGATTATGTTCATCATGAGACATTCATCAGGAAACACCAATATTACGGTGTCAGAAATATTGTGTTTAGACACATTATTTCCTATATAAGTAAAGAACTCAACAGGTCGTTATCAATGGTAAAGGTTCCTCCGGATCAGTTGTATTACGTTTAGTATGGACGTTCCTCAGGGCTCGATTCTTGGCCCATTTCTATTCTTAATCTATATCAATGACTTACTTTATCTTGAAGAGGACAATCACGATACAGTTATTATTTGCTGATGATAACCTTTTAAATTTACAAACTTAAACGGCAGTTTATTAATTATGACGGTATTAACAATGCTCTATAAAAATCATGAACGCTAAAAATTTGCTCTTAAATGACAATGAGGCAAAATGAATAAAATTTTCAATATCTAATGATAGTTTTAGAATACCAATGTGCTCTTAAATGGGGAAGAGTTGAGTCTTGTGGATACCACAAGTGTGGTATTTTCCTTGGTATTACTATTGTCACGGAGCTTCAATGGTGCCCCCATATATCTAAATTAGCAAACAGATTTAGTTCTACAGCATATGCTGTAATGAAGATTAGAAGTCTCACCAATGTTGAGACAGCTAGATTAGTTTATTTTAGTTACTTTTATAGTGTAGTCTTATAGTTTTTTGCTATTCACTCACGAAGAGAAAAATTTAAAAGAAATAAACATATTAGGTCTTTACCTATGAAATTGCAGCTTTTTATGATATAAGTTAACGTAATTTTTTTCTATGTTTTTATTTCTATTAATCAAAGTAATCACCCATGCAAATGATGTATTTTCGTTATTGTATTTTTTGTATGTGTGTTATCTCATAACTTGAACCTATTTCGATTATTATTTTTTTTTGTTTGAAAGCTGGTGCTTTTCTTGTAGTCCCATATAGGTTTGATCAAGGTTTGACCAATACTTTTTGAATTATTATAAT